AACAAAACCTGAAGATGAACGGATTCATTATAGAGCTGCGTAGTTTTTCTTGTATGTTATGCCCCTTCCTACCTCACAGACCTGCTCACCACCACAGTCCCTCCTGCAACCTCCGCTCCTGCAACACAAACCTCCTCTCACCACAAATCAGGACCAAGCACCGTACCTGGTATCATCGCAGCCTCCTCCCTCTGGAACTCCTTACCCATACACATCCGAGATTGCAGCGACATGGACTCTTTAAAATCACTTATCAAAACCCACCTTTTTAGACTAGCTTTTAACATCAAATAGTGTCACATTATTTGTAAGGTCGCCACTTATTCTCACATTTTTCTACACCACATGTTTTTTATCTACTGTTTGTATATTTTATATTATGCTATTTATGTTTTTAATCGCTTTAAATGTACATAACTTCTGCTTTTACCTGTAACGTGTCTTTGAGTCCTGAAAAGCGCTATAGAAATAAAATGTATTGTTATCAATAAAAAGTCAGATGGTGTTTGTCCACATGACCATCAATGTTTTCAAAACCACAGAACAAAAAGTGACAAGTTTGGGTCAATGCAACATAGTGCTGTAAAATATAGGAGGAAGATATGGAGATGGCTACAGATGAAAGATCAGAAGACACACAAAACATTTTGACATTAAAACCCACTTCAAATCAGGAGTCTTGCATAAAGCTCTCTGTCGCATTACGACAGAAATACAAACCAGAAGACCAACAATTAAATTCAACAGTAGCCAAATATTTTACATACACAAAAAAATGATTTACGAGCACAGTGTGCAAGTAAAGATTACAACCTGCCATAATCTTCCACCTGATTCTCTCAATAACAACTTTATTGAAGAGGATAATAATAAAAAAAAGTTGTTGAAAACAGGAGTTGAACCCACAATCGTCAAATTACGAGTCCTGCACCCTGTATTCAGCTGTGGTTTGTTATCTCAAGATCACGAGAAAATTATTAGTAGTCTTATCCATTGCACCTGCGTCACCGCCATCAAAGTTATGTGAAATAATGTGAAATGACACAGCGGAAAAGTATTGAACACATGAAGAAAAGGCATGGAAAGCCAAGACATCAGCTGAAATCTTAATTATGAAGCAGTCCTGTCCCGTGTCAGTGAAAATGAATACCAGCTGAAATATCAGCAGAAATGCCAAATATTTATACACGGAGCGCATGCATGACTAGCAGACAAACCCGAAACGAGAACACAGAACTAGGACACGGAGGACAGGGAGTGAAACAACTAGCAAACAATGGCAAAATAAGAGTGAAACACAACATAATAAAACCTAAACCCCAACAGATACGGGCTAGTAAAGCATTCATTTTGTGAAATTGAAATCTTTAAACACTAGTATGCTAATTAAGCCTAAGCGCGGTGTCTGCTTGGAGAAATTTGGGCCCTTGGACAAAAGTAGTTTAGGACCCCTGCCTTAGACCCCTGAAGGGGTCAGTTGGTGGTGATGGTGAGTTGGGGGTGTTGTAAATTTGGCCCAGCGTCCAGGAACAGGCATGTGCCATCAAAGCCCTGGCCTCTTTCCTTTCTTTCTTTCTTTCTTTCTTTCTTTCTTTTCTTTTATGGCCCGTCGTCGTCCTGCACCTGCAGCCCTCTTTATCAGGCGGAGAGGACGATCCGAGGCCGCACACATTCACATTCACATGTACAAGGAGAAGATTAGGCCCCAATTCAGCCTCCTTTCTTTCCGCTGAGCCTGAAAGACACGACGAGGGGAGGGAGAAAAGAACAACTGAAAGGACTCCTCTGCTGGATTCTGCTCCTGGAGGCTGAAAGGCAGAGCGGGGAGACAAAAGAAAAAGGGGGGAGAGAAAACAGAGGCCATTGTGTTTCTCTCAAGTGCTAATTCACAACTGATTCTTCTTAATGCACTCGGGAGGCTCTTTTAATTGTCTGACTTTGCATTCAAATAGTGTGTTTGTAGCTTTTAAATTAGAGTCTATTTTAACCTGTAATTGAAACAAGACCTGTTTACTCTGGTTAGATGTTGTTGACGCTGACGAATAGGGACGGGGATCGTTCATTTTTATTGATATTTATTGAGACTGCTTAACGATCCGATTCTTTATCGATACCACTATCAATCCTTTTATTATTTAGTGATGGTTATTTGGTAAGACCAGACCCAACGGGCACGAGGTAGATCTGCAGTCACGTTTGTGTGGGACTCTTTTTAATTTCCACATATTTACAGATAAACATAACATAAAAAAACATAAAAAGAGACCTCTAAAACAGAGTGTGAAATTATAGTTATTATTAGGGCGAGGAAAATGACTTACAGGAAACGTCCTTTTGCGAAACGGCTGTAAGATTAGATAACGCATTAGAAACACACTCAGTATAAAAATGACTGTTTGTCACATGAACAGATCTCTTATAGATATATGATATATAGACTAGCTAACATCGTGCTCTAGAAAACAAGCTTTCCAATGATAAAAGATTCAATATAAAGACTTTAAAAAAGACCAGTGTAACTTTAACTTGGAAAGTGCTAACAAGGAGAAATGTGTACACGATCTGCGGTTGACGGTCTCTGTGTAAAATTGACAAATAATAATCTTTATATATATATATATATATATATTATTGAAGATTTTTTTGTACATTTTTATAAAATTATGGTAATAATAGTTGCAAAATAACATCTTAAAATTGACAGATTGAAGCAAAATCATCATATTGGACTGTGGTGCCACGATGGAGCAGTGCTAGCCAAATGTCACCTGGGAGTACTGGCGCCTATTTATTTCCACTTCAAGCACGGTCTACAAACAGTACAATTTCAGCACCGGGCACTAAGTTGCTGACTAACATGTATTTTTATACACATGTATTTGTACTCGGCTGAAACGAGTATCCAGTACAGGTACTTTATACGAGTATAATAATATCTGTCCTCTGTAAATATGCTCTGTAGATAGTTCTCTTATTCTTGTGATAAGAAATGTTGCTCTGAAGTTCAATTCTGAGGCTGTTGTGTAAATCATTTTCGAATAAATACATCAACTTCTGATCAACGCACATAAATTTCAGACTTAAATGAACAAATTCAGGGTAGTCCCACCTACTTCCTGTGTAATGAGTACAGAAATATATATAGGGTTGTTAGTTGATCAGATACAGATATGGTGTATTCGCTCACCCCCAGTAAATTCCTTACCTTTCGTCCCTCCTTCCTGCTTTCCTTCCTCTCTCCAGTTTTAAGAATAAACCTGTTAGCACAGCTGGATATCTGATGGAGAAACCTGTTTTCTGTGTTCATGTAAACCCCTAATCAGATCTCTTAAAGGTGCATTACCATGATAAAGTATCAGGAAAGTCTCACAGGATGAAAGGACAGATAACAACACACAGCTGTGATCACTGTATCCAACTAAAACTCTGTTAATCTGTTGTGAATAGACACCGTCTCAAATGTCCTGTCCTCATGCTGTCAGGTTCTCATGGTCTCAACTGAGGGCAGAAAAGAGTACCGGCAGCTTGTGAGAAGTGCCGGTACGCAAGAAAAGGTCCGGATGTGCCAACAAGTTAAATGAAGAAGTACCGGCCCACATCAGGCGCCGTGTGTCACTGTTGACAAGCAAGCTGCTGCTCTGTCTCTTGGCTGCTGCTATGGTGCTGAGGTGATGGTTGAGACAGAGTTTAGACCAGGGCTTTTTAAAGTCTGAGACTACGGGCCTCCCCTCAGTCAAAGCTTGGGAAACCCCAAGCCCCTCCCCCACCACATCTTTAGTTTACGTGGTAAGTTTCGCTCAATTCCTGGATACCTATGGGATCGTGATTATATTATTTTATCCCGTAGACACTCAGCATTTGAGCCAAAACAGCCTAATATTGCTGTTTGACATAACTTCTGACTGCACCAAATAGTTTTTAAAAAGTTCTGTCCTAAGCCATTTATTAGTTTCTGACTCTGATGGGAGGAAACCGGGTCCCAACAACTACTGTGTCTCTGAACTCTCATGCATGTAGGCTATTCTATGTGATCTCCTTTTGATAACAAATGCAATAAGGAATGTGACATGCAGATTATAGGCAACTAGCACCTCCTAGTGGTTACTTTAAGACAGCTGTCAGCTGAATGTCATTGCTGTATTGGTTAATTGTGATCACATGGGTAGGGTCATAGTTCAGACCAGCCATTTTGCAGTTAGTTTGGGAAAATAAGGTGCTTCAGGACATCTTTGTTTAATCTTCGGCATCCACCTGTATTGAACCCTGGAGAAGCTTTGATTGTGAGTTAAATTTAGTGTTTTGTTTTATAAATAAGTGCATATGTGCAACATTTGGTGAGATTTATAGATAATTACATCATCTATTTACCATGTGGAGGGCAGCTGTCTGTTTAATTTCATCATGTACAATTCTTCTGTGTTTTTAGTTACATTTAGCTTCTTTTGTGTTCAACTTTACTTCCACGTCTCACTCATCATTTAACCCTATCAGTATCTAAGACATCTGTTTAGCTATCTGTCACCTTGTGTAGAGCCACACAAGCAGTGGACAGAAGCGAATCTTGGACATGTTGGGCGATTTAGAAATCCCAGCTGGATGTATTTCTCAGGTCCCAAAAAGAGGACATGTTCAGGAAAAAGAAAGCATACGGTCACTCTACTTTAGTTAATCTTTAGCTGCATGTTAGCTGGCCTTTGAATTAAAGAGCTAACACAGTTAGCAGCTTAGTGTAGCAGATTAAATAGTTTGGTTTGTGTTAGCCGCTTAAAAAACACTTTAGTTCAGGTTCGCTAACATTTCGCTAACAGTGCATTTTAGCGGCTTGGCTTATTTTCACCTAAAGTTGTTTGCCAGCGTCTGTCCTGTTTTAGCTAACAGGACAGATGCTGGTAGATGCTTTTATCCAAAGCGACTTACATTTGAGGAACAACTTACAAACATCAATAAAGCATCAACACAGAAAGATATCTACACGACCAAGCCCGGAAAGGCAGGGGATTTTTCTCACACTTTCTACAACACTGTTAGTTAGCTGTGATTGTTTTTGTTTGTTGCTCTCACTACGAGCAGGTGCTGTTTTAAAACGTACGTTCAGGCTGAAAATTGAACCGTGGTGTTGTATCGGGAGAGGCAGTGACTTTACCAGTGGTGAGTAAGACACAGTATAAGTAATACATGTTATTTGTTAAGCTATGAGGAGAGGAAAAGTACGCTAGCCGCTAGGCTAATTTATGCTGTGTAAAATACCATAGGCTAAGCTAAAAACTGAGACTTTGATTATTATTAAGCCATGTTTTATGTGTGGTGGTGGAGTCAATTTAAAGTGAACTTTACTGCACTTAACCAATTACAATTGTTTTATATGTTGTTTTTTTCTTTTATTGCCAGAAACCACAGAAGAAAGAGGAGGTAGCATGATGTGGCCATTGTGACGGCAGAAAATAGTTTTCTTCTTATACTTAAAGTCATTTATGTAAGTACTTATAAGAGTGCTGTTTTTCTATTATTATGTCTTATACATTGTTTTAATCTTTAACCTGTTCCTTTTATTATTATTCTCATCATTCTAGTCTGTCCACATGTGTAGGGTTTAGGACAGGGAAGTGGAGTTGTTTTCTGTTCCTCTGCTGTTTGGGCTGAGACCAGTCAAGGCTGGAAGAGGATCTTTTGTTCCCCAAAACATAGAAACCCAGGCTGTGTAAATGATCATGCAGCCCTTTGCTCTGGGCCAGACGTTAGTGACTGTCTTTGGAGACAGAACCTTTGGTGCAGCTGATTTGTGTTGTAGTACTTCTTTGTTTATTCTATTTTGTTAAATTCTTACAGTTTGTTGTAACTCAATTATTTGCTCAACCCCTCACCAGGAAACAGATTTCCACGACAGCCATCCCTGGCATCTTGGTAAGAGGAGGATAAAAAGAAGGAGAAGTAGGAGAGCAACGCAGAAAATAAACCAAAAACAATAAATATACCTTTTATATTTCCACACATGTTGTTTAGTTACATTAATAAGCTTCTTTTGTGTTCAACTTTACTTCCACGTCTCATGAGACGTGCTGGTAAATACCTAGGGGAAGAAGTAAGAATAAATAAATAATAGTGCAACTCAGGGATGTACTAGGACTGAAATTCAGCCCGGGACTTTGAGACAGAGACGCCTTTTATGTGAGCGCTGTGTGGGGGCGCAGAGAAAGATTTTCTGCAGTTATTTTAATAAATAGTGTTGTAATTTCATTATGACGAAGACCTTCAAGAAACTTTTTATGACACCTGCCTGTTAGTTTGTATTTGGCACCACTGCACTGAGGAAGACCAGGTCAGGCAGCCTGAGTCAGTCAGAACGCTAAAATAGGTTAAAATAATCAAAATCTACAATGCAGTCTCATAAAGTAGAGCAGCTTCAGCTCTGGGTTGGCCTCTCCCTGGCTCAGCTCCCCTGTGCTGGACCCCGACTCTGCTTGTGCTGATTATACAGCTACATTGCATGAGAAGAACATCAGTAATAAATATAACTAATAATAATCCATTCTCTAATTCTATCTATGGATGATTGCCGACCCAGCCCTGCACAGGCCCTGTACCTGCCACTGTTTCTGGTTCCTTGTCCTCCTCCTCCTCTCCTGCAGCTCCTCCTCTTCCTTCAACTGTTGTTTATAATATAATCCAGCCGTATAAATAATCTCAGGTTATAATAAATGCATTACTTATCTGTGCCTGTGCTGGGTCTGTCACAGCACCTTTCCACCAACGAAGAGGTCGCTTTATTTGGTGCATTTAGCTGCCTCTTGTGCCGACATTTTCTTATTTTTCTTATTTTATTTTTTTGGCGCCACTTCTTTCTTATGGACATATGTACCTGCTCTGTTGCGCTTATCACACGACCCTGGGCCCCGACAAAAAGTACTGAGATTAAACTCGTCCCAGATGGAAAGTAAACTCCTTTGATCGGCGCCGTTGAGCCAATCAGAATTCAGCAAAAACGAGGATCGTTCCAAGTTGGGAGGGGCCGCTCGTATCTGCCCTCTACGTTGAAAGTATTAGTTTGGCCGGTCTGACAGAAACAGACAGCGTTCGCTGCAGCTGGCAGGCCGGCGTGGAAGCAGATCTTTTAAAGTTGAAAATAAGAAACTGACAAAATAAAAACTCTCGAACACCGGCCGGTTCAGCCTGAGATAGACCGGCCGCTCGGGATTGTTCGCGAAATTCCCGTTGGCCAATCCGCCCTCTCCTTAAAAGTGAATTATAAGGAGTCAGAAGAAGGAGAGCACAGGAAGTGCATGTTAGATGTGTTCAAATTCTTTGCCATTTGCACAACAATTACAGTGAATCAGTTATTGACATAGAATTTCTCCTCCTCTTCCACTTGTGAATGGGGATTTATGAAAAGAACTATTATTTCGTTTTAAATGGAAGCTGGTCCGTCTGTGTGTCAGTAAGGAAGTGTTGTTGGGAAGTTGTCTCGCTGGCCTCTCTGCTCTCATCTGGTCGGCAGTGAGAAGTTTCTTTTTTTTTTATTCTGTCCAAACTTTCCACAGTTAAAATCGGTAAAACTAACAGTGCACTTCCAGCCGTATTTGCTCACAGCCATTCAGCTCCACACAAAGCACGGTTCAATCACTTTTTTCCACAAGTGGGACTTGCGTTTTGTCTCGACAAAATAAACTACCGGAGCCGCCTTTTTCTTTCTTTCAGCCTCCTCGCTGCTTTTATTTCACGGCTGCCCTCGAGTCTCAATGAGAGTGTCAGCGCTGAAGAATGCCTCGCCCCTCCTCCTCCTCCTGCTCCGCTCACCGGGATTCAGCCGCCGTCCAGCCGGCTGACAGCTTCCCCACCACATCGCCTGGCGACTGAAGGGACCACACACACTCTCTCTCCATGTCCTCCATGCCTGGGTAATTGTTCTTCTTGGCTTTTTGGGAGGGTGAGACTGTTCGCAGCCACAGGTCTATTTCTCTCTGGCAGTTTTTTACCCTCAAGGACTTCCAAACAAATTTCAAGCATGAGTGTAAAAGCTGTCCAGTGTTATTAGACAATGAAAGTGTCCCCTTCTTGTGCTCCAGGTCAAAACTACACTCATATCTGTATCTGCATAGGCCACAGTTCAGTAAGTGTTAATATTGTTCACGCACCATCCACAGTATAGTTTGTGACATGTAAGGACCCTTTTAAAGGGCCACACTTGTGTTGACAAATTGGAGCTCCTCGACTAAACACGTTGCTGACGTTCAAATGCCAGCATCCGGATCTGACCAGGGAAGCCAGTGCTGCAGAGCCTTAAACCTGCGTCCTCTCCAGCAGCCAGCAGGGGGCGACTCCAGCGGCTGCAGAAAGAAGTGTGATTGTATAGAAGTCTATGAGAAAATGTTTCTACTTGTCAGCTGATTTATTCCCTCAGTAAACACTTTCCTGATGGGTTTATGGTCTCAGTCGCTAGTTTCAAGTCTTCTTCAACACAGCATGATGTTCATTTAGTAAATTAGGGGTGGTGATGGAGCAGTGTGAGAGACCCGGGTTCAATTCCCCACTGTGACACATCCACCATTGTGTCCCTGAGCACTTAACCCCAAGTTTCTACAGAGGCGTGTGACCTCTGACATATTTTGTAAGTCACTTTGGATAAAAGCGCCAGCTAAATGAATACATGTAAATTATGGTCCCATTTAGAGGAACATAGACCAGAAAGCAGTGGAGCCTTTAGGGCGGAGCTACAAGCTTTCAATCAAGATAGAGGTGACTCGTCTCTGCTGCTCTGTGTACATTTAACCAGCGCCGCCGAAAAAGCTTATTAGGAGTCGGCAGCTCATTTTTCTGGTAAGTACATTTTGTTTTAAGCCTGTTTGGCGCTAGACAAAGTTAGCATCCCTGCTAATATCACAGTTAACGTTGTCAGTGCCAAATCCGTACCGGCAGCAAGATCCGTTCTTCACACGCGCAAAAGTGGTTCTGTCAGTCAAAGAAGGTCACCGCAAATCTGCCTATTCAAAATGATCCAACTAAATCTTTCATATAAGGGTTAGCCTCCTTTGTGTTAGCCTCTCAAACGGATGGCAAAGGTAACTTTGCATTAAATAACGCTAATAGTATTTGATGCCCTGAGATGCGAACAGACAACAGCACACGAATAATTATGAACAGGCACATTTGCGGTAACCTTCTTTGACAGACAAGTCCACTTTTACGAATGTGCAGATAGGGATCTGGCAGGCAGCACGGATATGGTACCAAAAACGTGAATTACAGATGCACCTTGCTAACCAAGCTAGCTAGCTCCACCCTCTCGTCCAAATATGGTCCAGTCTAGCGGCAGGAAAAAATGCCTAACTTGAGACTTCAAAACAGCAGTCCACGAACCAACGGGTGACGCCACGGTGGCCACGCCCACTTCTTTATACAATCTGTAGTTGGATCAGTCACTAATAACTTGTCTGCTGTGTCTTGTGTTGTCACACTTGCTTGATGTTTGGCTGTTGACCCGCTAGTTTTTGATCATATAATGTAATCATAACAAATGACAGCGGTACATAAGTGAGTAACACTAATGTTGCTTTAAGCAGCTGCTTCATGCAGTTGATCATGTTTTTCTGTGTAAACCAGCTGTTTCTACACTCAGACAGCAGTTTGTGTTTTAATTGGACTCTGAAAGCAGATTAATTAGTTCTTCGCTAACGGGCTCGAATATCCAACAACAAACCTCTTCATGCTGTACCTGTTAGCGGTTAGCCACGTATTGCAAGCAAACCAAGTAAATGATTCTGCTCATGTTGATTCTAGTGACTAAAAAGACTTTAACTGGAGAATCAAAACAGAAAAATCATTTCCACTCATTACACAGTGAGAATATTTAAACAAGAGACAAATTAAAGAATGTATGGGCTGGTGATGGTGCAGTGGATAAGACACATCCCTGCTGTGTGAGAGACCATTGTGTCCCTGAGCAAGACACTTAACCCCTCGTGTGACCTCTGACATATATAGCAGCTGTAAGTCGCTTTGGATAAATGAATAAATGTAAATGTGAATGAGCTCATTAACATGCAGCATTACTTCTCTTTAAAACACTGCACTGTTTTGTATTGAAGCCGGGGAGCAGAGGAATGTGAAATGGGAGAAATGACTCAAACTCAAATCGTATCGACTTCACCGGGCCTCGTCCGTTATCGTGTACGTCGGTGTGTTGCACAGGTTGTGAGCCTTGACCCAAGCTGCACTGACCTTATGAGGTTAAAGATGAAGGAGAAATAAATAAGTAGGATTTGCCTGCAGAGCAAATAATTAGAAACTACTGTTTGCAGACTCGTGTTGTATTCACGTCACAGCGGGTCTTGTGCTCCATACATGATTGCAGCAGATGGTAAACTGAATCTCTGGGTTTTAACTGTCGGTCAGACAAAACAAGACATCTGAAGGCGTCGTCATATGATGTTTAACAGACGATTGACCATTGACAAACCAATCAAAAATAAAAAAACAATTTCCAAATCATGACCTTGTATCTGATCTTATTTTTATAATTCAGGACATTTCAACTAGCATTTTATTTTTTCGTTTAGAAATAATTTTGACTCCGTATCTTCTCAGAAAGTCAACGTTTTGACAGCTTATAAATATTATTATTTAGAATTTTTTTTTTTAATTTTGCATCTTACACTCTTCCTGGTGGATGATCCTTCCACAGACGGCGGGACGCAGCAGGACAAATGTACAAAGCAGTCAACATATTTGCCCTAAATCACGTTGAACTGGACCGTAAGAAAAGAAGAAGGTGTTTTACTTTATAAATTTTACTTCAAACTGAAACACTAATAATGCTGCTCTGAGTGACAGTTCGGGGATTGACTGATGGATGGCAGTGAGATCTTTTCTTCTCCTTTGGCTCGTCCTTTTCTATGACAGCCTGTCGCGCTCCGGTTGGCGACCATTTGACTGACGGGGGGGTGAAAATAAA